CTTTTCCGTTATTTCCCGATCATGACACGGCGGGTGTGACCGGTCGACAGGGGATGCTCACTCCTCCATGGCACCTGATCCCATCTCTGATGTTTTGGAGGTCCGTGTTTGCTCTGCTCCTGTTATGTATTGTGTTATCGACTTTTGATCTTGAATACTATTCGTTATCTTCATATGTTTAATTCTTTCACAGATTTCACCTACTATCGTGGTTTTAGATAATAAAATACTATATGAATTACTATTAAAAATGTTTAGTGCTTCTATGATAAAATGCCTGCATATGACATCATTTTCTAACAAACTATGCCACTGTGTCGTAAGATGAGAAAAAGGTTAGTTAAAATCACATTTTCTTCCATCTAAATTATTATTGATTTAATGAATTATCCCTTTAAGATTTTATTAAAGAGTACAAAAAGCTTATAAACAGCATATCCAGTTAATGAAATCATTTGAATTCACTGTAACAGTCTAATCTATCTTGTATATTCTCCAAGTGGTCACAGTTACAATATCCAAAATGTTTTGAGAATATAAAATCCGTATTATAAAGTTCATATTGACATGCCATATTCAAATGCCAGAGTACTTGAGTTTGGATATTTTACATGCGCTTATATTTAAATGTGAGTTTAATGCCTTCCTCAAATGACAGGAAATTTTATTTTCTTGTCGTCTGTGAGGGTAACGACTCAGCATCAATTTGCTCTTGTATATAACATACTCCATGTGGATGTTTTTTTTTGTGCATTTATAAACTATCATACTAGAGTAATTTTATGGCATGAAATACTATATATGCTAGTACACAGTAGCAAATAAATCGATGACTACTGTTAGATTTAGCAACATCTTTAAAGAAGCTAAACACATGCGTTTCTTGGAACATAATTTTTATGAGAAGATGCAAAGGTGTGAGGGTTATAATGGAAAACATGTGTTTCAATAGAGGTATATATATGATCATTGAATACATTACAGAAACTTCCGTGTTAAAGCGGATCCAGGATTTACAGAGGTCATAGAAAATTAGACAACAAAATGGGTTTTACATAAATACAGCTGTAAAGATGTAGACACTGCTGGGCAAGGTAAAGCCTCAATCCTATGTCCTTTGTCCAGGCGAGGATTGCCGATTGAACGCCAACAAGAAATGCAGCCAATTCTTTGGATTTTATTTCTTTTAATACAAGTTGTTTTTTTAAACAACCTGTATTTATGTTTATGCAACTTATGTTAGTATTTTGTCCTTTCCTTTTATTTACTAGGTTTGATCTATTATCTTTAAATTTTGCTATTATTATATAATAAAGTGAACATCTATCTATTTGTTTCCTATCAAAGGCTATTTTACTATCTGTTTAAAAATGTTTTTATCTGTTTTTAACCGAAGATTAAAATGTGCTTTAGTTCTTCTGTGGAAGCATGAACACAATGCTGATAAGGTCTGAAGCTGGTGATAACTTTGTCGATGTTCAAGCAAAAATTCCGTAAAAGATAGAATTTCAAGCGTCATAAGAACTTAAAGAACTGCGAATTATCAATAAATGTGTTGACCCACTTACATGGTCATGTATCTAGAATTCTTCGATATGGGGTGCACAAAGAGGGAGTTATTATGAAGGTAAACAATATTTTTTTTAATTTCTCAATTATAACAACTATATATAACTAAAAAAATATAGGTGGAGGAAATTGATCATTAAAAGTGTGATCAACGTCCTAATTCCAGTTAAGGACATTCATTTTGGCAAGGTTTCTTCCTTAAAGTAACACTAACACAACCGCTGAAATATCACCAGGATTATAGATGTTAATATTTATGTTAAAGATATTTTAATTGACCTTTAATTAACCATTTGGGGAATAGACTTCAAAAAAGACTTAAATAGACTTCCGAGGCATCTATATCAAGGCCTTTTCCACGAAAAGTCCTTTGTTCTCTATTTCCAATTCTGTCTTCCTGGTTTTGCGTTGTAGATTCGCAAAGTTTATCCCTTTGTTGTGGATTCGCAACTCCACTGAGCTAGCTAGTTTAAAACTTGTCGTTTCGAGAAAAACAAGGTCCAGTAGTGTTACAGCAGATCCTGGTACTGAAACCCCGCTCACAGGTAAAATAACCATAATGTGCCGACTTGCACATCACAGACAAAATAAATGTTCGAATTGTACTCGATCAACTCTGATTATAGGGGATGCTCAATCCTCCATGGCACCTGATCCCACATCTGATATTTCGGAGGTCCGTGTTTGTTCTGCTCCTGGACTTTGATATTGAATTCTGTTCGTTATCTCCATATCCTTCTCTTGACCTTGGGAGTATTATTTTTAAAGTTACTTGTAAAGTTAGCGTAAGTCTATGTATGTACCCTCTCAGCCTGTAAATTGTCTTGTATTGCCTTGTAAATTGATTGATTGTATACTGTTTCACGTCCCTCTCCAGAATATTTCACTGATATGGAGACATCACCATTGCCGGTGAAGGGCTGCAAATTTAGGCATATGCTCAGTACTTACGGCCTTTGAGCAAGGAGGGATTTTTATCGTGCCACACCTGCTGTGACACGGGGCCTCGGTTTATACGATCTCATCCGAATGACCGCCCTATTTAGTCGCCTTTTACGACAAGCAAGGGTGTACTGAGGACCTAGTCTAACCCGGATCCCCAAAGGGTTGTTAAATAAAATTTGTCAAAAATTGTCCAACATCCAGATAATATTCATTTATGATCAACTGCAATAAAAGGAATGCTAGTTTCGATCTTCCGTATATATATTCAAGTCATCCGATATATTGGAATTTGAATGTATGCAGGTATAAAAGTATAGCCCCTCCTAAAATGGATTTCTTTTTCAAATACCCGAAAATATTAAAATAAATCTTATTCTTAAAATACCTCAAAGTTTAAATCATAAATGCATAGCTGAAATATGTATGACTAGAAACGTGTGTTAGGGAGACAGAAATGTGTGTTGTATATTTTATTCAAATGGAGCTATTTGAAAGGACATTGACACAGTTTCAAATGATTTTTTTAAAACCAATTTTAATGTTCACAGTTCTTAACTAGGGCAATTCTAATGATCTACAAAAACTTTAAATCATTTGTTGGTTTACAAAGGAGAATGATATAGAACGTAAAAGTCATCATAATGATAACTTGACTCGTACCTTGTTTTTGTTTACATATGAGTATAGTTAATATCATATTTATAACAAAAAGAGATTCGACAAATAATTAGAAATTGTCTAATAGAACTTAGAATTAACTTTTTCATTGCAAAATCGAGCATATATTTAATAAATGTAACCTATGTAATCAAAACATGACACAAGTCATGTTTACATAACCAAGTTTGGAGTTCTAAGTCTGTCTTGTATATCAACAACTGAAATTCAAATGTTTGATGATCATAAGAAATAACCTTAGTTATGTTCCCCAAACGAAGTTGGGGAACATATTGTTTTTACTCTGTTTCTTATTATTATTATTATTATTTTTCTTCTCGGGAAAATTTTGTCCGCGAATGATCTTGTAAAGTACACATCCGATTAAGGGGAAACCTTTTTAGGGTAAGTAGGCATGTTATGTAGATTTGCGGAACGAAGGTCATTTTGCGCGCACGTGCTTGCAAGAGCGCGCACGTGCAACACGTGAAATGACCAATATACTTGAAATTGCCGTAACTTTTACATTTTTCGATGTAATGCTTTGATATTTAGAATATATAGACATATTATAAATGTAGATAAGATGACATTGTCAACATGCCATTTTGTGTGCACGTGCTTGCAAGAGCGCGCACGAGCAACACGTGAAATGACCGATTTAATTGATATAGAGGTAAATCTTTACCGTTTTGATGAAATGCTTTGAAACTCATTTAATAAGGATATAGTAGTAGCATAGACAATATGACATGGTCAAAATAGCAAGATCTCACGCGCATGCACGTGCGCTTCGCTCTGATTGGCTGAAACTAAAGTCTCAATATCCTTCTTGTTTTTTGATGAAATCCTTTGAAATTTGGAACATAGCCATGCATTAGGATATCCTACAACATGATATATAGCAATTATCAAGAAATCACGTGCATGCACGTGGGCTGCAATCTGATTGGCTGAAACTTTAAATAGCTGTAACTCCCTTGGTTTTCAACCAAACAGGATGGGATTTGGAACATAGATAGATATAATAGACTTCTACAAGAAGGTAAGTCACCATGCACATCCATACACGTGAGTGTACGTGCGCTGCAATCTGATTGGCTGAAACTTTAAATAGCTATAACTCCCTTAGTTTTCAACCAAACAAGATGAGATTTGAAACATAGATAGATATAATGGACTTCTACAAGAAAGTATGATCCCCATGCACATCCATACACGTGCGAGAACGTACGCTGCAATCTGATTGGCTGAAACTTTAATCAGCTAGAACTCCCTTGGTTTTCAACCAAACGGGGTGGGATTTGGAACATAGATAGATGTATTGGACTTCTACAAGAACGTATGTCACCATGCTCATGTATGCACATGCATGCACTTGAAATGAGTAAAACCAAAAATACACTTGAATGAGCGTATTTTTTAATACTTTTGGATTAAATACTTTAACATTTAGTATATTAAAGTATATAGATTGTGTAGACAAGATGATATGGTCATTACGCACATGCATTCACATGCACACGCGTACAATGCTAAAATCTGAATGAACTTGGTACCCTTCTGTGTTAACGTTGTTAAATTCTCAAATGCATAAAGTTTGTCTTATTTAATGAAGCTAACAGGGAATATGGCACCAAAAGGGAATTTGGGAGCGTTTGGGGAACATCTGTAACGGTCCCCGTTACAATTAGCACTAGTTAAATATTTGTAAACATAAAAATGGAAAAAATATTTTTAAAATTTTAGGTGAAACTGTGTCCATGTTCCTTTAAATAGCTGTTCAGGTGCTTTGCTATAAAATAAGATTCGATATTTGTTACAGAGAGAGAGATGAAGAATTTTTTGGTGTTTGTATTCACCCTAACAGTAAGTAGTAGACAAATGGAAAACGAACTGTACAGCTTTCTGTAATTCTGCTGGTTTATCAACTCATGAAATGCATGTTTGCATATATAACGTTTTTACAGATAAATTATGCATGTTCTGTTATGCGTGCAAAGAAATGAGACAAACTATGGAAAGGACGTAAACTCAAATTGTACACCAAAAAAATTATATTCTTTGTAATTGAGTTCTAATTTTTCACATTCCAACTTATGCAATTTCCAACTAAAGACAAATGAATGAACTTTTTTTAAAGGTTTTGTGGCAGAATTTTCACGTGTCTTTGGCGGATTGGCAGCATCCTCACTACAGCTACAGTTATGTATAGTTATCTTAAGCTGCAGAACCGTAGCGCTATGGTTTTGAATTTTGTGCAATACGACAAAGTAATCAAAACAAGGAGTTAATTGGTCTGTAGAGACTACCTTTAAGGATTTGGTAATTAAGATATACAGGTGGTTAATAAATATGTCTAGAATTAGCTATAGGAAGTGAAAGGTAGTTGAATGGCCAATGCTGGAAAGTGGAGAAATTTTCCCCAACTGTTGCAGAAAATCTTGCACAGTAAATTGCACATTATTTGCATTGCGTGATCTGTAGCAGCATTATGTTATACATGTATATGGTCAAAGACTTTAAGAAAACCATGACGCAACAGTTGCTCAGCTTAGTTATCTTAAGATTCAGCATAATTTTCTCTTTTGCATGCATGTCCTTTTTTCCATGTATACAATGTTCTCTGTACAAACCAGGTTTCATCATTTTTTTATGAAGACAATATACAAATCATAAAATTTATGTTCACTCATACATTTCTTATTTCAAAATGTTCAAGGATGTTTGGAGAACAGGGGCGTTGAATTTTTTGGAATGCATAGTATAAGCGGCATGGAGGTGGAAGGGAAACCTTGTAGTACAACTAGAGGAAAACATAATGTTCTCTACTATTTCATCCCATATACCTGTATGGTATGTCCTAATAGTCTTCTAAAATAATTAAATATCTTATATATTTCTTTAAAAAAAAAAAAAACTTATGAATTACCTTTAAGTTTGTATGCCCTTGGGGTGACCACGTATATTTACAAACTAAATAAAAACTAAAAGTTACTAGACTAGCTAAATTCAAATTAACTTTTTTATCAATTCAATTCATTTCTTTATTCCCTTATGCCATTTGGCACATCAGACAATTACATGTATTTTAAACAAGGTGTACATATATTCAAATCTTTCAGTTATATAATTAATATTTACATACATATTACTAGTATATGTTACAACATGTCATATTTTGCAATGGTAGATCGAGAAAAAAAAGTGTGATATGATAAGTAAATTCTCACACTTCTTATGTCTTTGTTTGAATGACTCGTATAGTTTCCTCGTAGGAATTATTGTTCTTAAGAATGACTTTTTCCAGATGGACAAAAATTACTGATAGAAAAAAACCCACCTATTTCACGTAGAAGACTTACGATTAAAGTGCTATTTTATTTTAACTTTTTAACAACTAAGTACTACATCATTGACCCACTTTTTTTTTTCGCAGTCTCTCGGTATTTCTTGAAAAGCCCTTAAATTTTATCCATCAAGGGATATTTTCAATTTCTTTATACATTATTATTGGTAAAATAACAAGATGTGTTTGTGAAACACTGATGGCAGCTTATGGCGAATATTAACGTTTCTCCAACGCAATTCAAACTCCAAAGTCACGAGATCAAAAATGTTGTTACCAAAAAAGGACTTGTGTCAACAGATATACCTAGTAACCATGAAAACCCAAACATCAACTATTCAAAATATATGGTCAATGTAATTGTTTTCTTAAGGTGGATCAAACTCCAAGGTCAATGGAAAGGGAAAACCCATCATAAGAAGTATAAATACCAGTGTAAAATATAAAAGCCCTAGCAACAACTGATCAAATTATTAAGGTCCAAGATAAAAGTCAAAGCGTCAAAATTGTTGATATTGAAAGAAAGTTCTTGCCACAAGGAATATACATGTACCTTTGAAATTTGAAAGTTCCAGTACTAACTGTTCAAAAGTTATGGCCCAAGGTAAAATTTTTAAAAGTGGGTCAAACTCTAAGGTCAAGGTAAAAAATACTTAAACCCATTGAAAGGTTTTGTCACAATGAAATATGAAAGCCCTACATTGTAGTAAAAACTGTTCAAAAGTAATGGCAAAGGATAAGTTGGGTAAAATTTTGCAAAATTGGGCCAAACTCCAAGGTCAAGAGGTCAAATATGTAGGTACCCAAAATGAAGTTCTTGCCACAAGGAATACATATGTGCAATATGATAGCCCTAGCTCCACTCAATCAAAAGAAATGGACAAAGTTAATGTTTTAGCGAACAAACAGACAGACAGACGGACGGACAGCGCAAAACTATTTACCCCGAATCTTCGACAACTCTTTGGTGTATGAAATATAATGAAAACACAGATAATAATGTGTATTTATAGAGTTTGAACATTGAAAAAAATCTGTCAATTTTTTTATGTACACGATTTAGAGTAATATTTGATTTTTAAGAGTTTCTATTTTCTTTATACTATGCAAGTTTCATATACGGTGTGTATAGTTGTTTAGATTTGACTGCAGACATAAAAGATAATTCGAAATTAAGTCTTGGCCTATTAATTTAGTTAATACCACCAAAACCAGGCTTTAACTGAAGAGGGTGGACAGGTCTGTGAAGACATTGCACCTAGTATATCATCTGTCCCCATCAACTAAAACCACAAGTTAATGTCTTTCTGACGTGAATATGGTGTCCTTTAAATTTATGTATTTTAGGATATTTTGGTAAAATAAAATGCTCTTTAAATGTTATGATTTGTCTATTTTATTGAATTTTATTTTCTACTTATTATTCTTCTTCTTGGATAGAATGAAACAGATGATGGGCATACCGCAACAATAACTGTTTACGACAGAGAATTTGATGGCACTAATATACCTACACCTACAGTAAAGTCTTTTACGACTTACAGTCCTTCCATATTTCAAGGAGGACTCGGTCTGCATAAATTTGTCATCATGTGTCACAATATTCGTGATAGAGGAATAAATAAAACAGTCGCCCATGTTTTTCAAGAAAAGTGAGTATTTATCTAAATTCTTAGTGATTTATTAATTTCTTTTGTTTCCTTGCTCTAAACAAATAAACAGAATATGTTAATTGCATCTTTGCACACATATCGAATTAAAGAGACATACATTTTGGCTGCAAAAGTTTGAAATTTTATCATAATTGTAATTTTTCCTCAAATTCTACAATATGTTAGCAATTCTAATAATGATAAAGATATGTTTATGAATAAAAGAAATATTTTTGATGCTGTATTTGTAATCTTTTTCTGACTACTAGTATATTTTTAAATATTTTACAATTTTATATTTTACTGACACATTAATTTCCCAAACTGTAATTGGTCATCAACAAAAATATTTGCTAAAGATCAATCTGATTGTACACACAAGTACTCTGAAGATGGTATTAAAAAGATGCTGGAGTTACTCATTGACAACATTTATTTTATTATAGCTGACCTGTTTTATAATCCTCTGAGGCAGAATTCATTTGGAAATTTCTGCATGAGAAGAACATTTTTTATCAGTTATTTGCATATGTTTTTACCGTGTACGATCACTCAAGAGCATGTTCCGAGTATGATCATTTAATTTTAAACAGAGATAGGCTAGTGACAAATAAGTTAATGTACAGGAATTTGAATGGCCTTGTGAAAGTCAGCATTTCGTAAATTCTTTGGTCGTTGTAATGACCTTGTAAACAGATACAACTTTCACTGGGTCGTATTTTGCCGTACTTGTAAATTTGTTTCATACCAACTGTAAAGCCTTTTTTCATAAATACTGTATTTGACTACGGTATGTTCCGTCTTTCTGTCCAAACATAGGGCTTACTCCACCTACTGTTCTTGTCCAATTACAACTAAACTTGACTCAGAAAGAGATTGAACCAAGGATCATTTTTTATACTTGCTGTTGCCATAGTTTCAAGGCGAAGTGCTGCCTTTCTTTTCTTCTGTTAAGTAAAACCAAGTAGAGCTTCAGTCTAATTAGAGACTTCATGCTTGTGTTTCGTTTCTTTAATTGTTATTTTTGTTTTTTAATATTTTTTCATACAAAATAACAAGATTATACAATCAATATATACTACAGGGACTTCAACGAACTTTCAAAAAGCTACAAAGAAGTCGGGTCCGTTGAGATGCGTTTTAAAGCAGTCAATGATTCCGCCGCTCCCGATATCAACACTGTCTACACTGGAGATGAATTCTACATGTTCATCAAATACATGGGAGGTAATAAATGATGGCTGTGGACTTTTTTTCGTACTTTGCATTTTACATCCACTGAATATAACATGCATCTCCTTTATTTCTTAAGAATACCATGATCGTTTTATCAAGCAGGCGCCATGTATAAACTTGAGAAGTGGCTCTTCCATCAATTATAGGTGCATGGACACAGATTTGAAGTTAATATTTTCTGTTAAATATCACAACTTATACATTTTAATAGCTGCAGAACTGTATAGCTCTTCGAATAAATATATATTGATAAACCCTTTAAAAAAACTATATTTATTGCGCACGAAAAAGTGTGCTCGGTTCTGGATCAATTCCTTAAAATTCTTACCTGAATTGCAAAAAAAGATAGATTTCGAAATAGTCCTTAAATTACTCCTGTATCAATTACTCTCGTAGTTTACATGGTGTCTTCTAGCTATTCCCTCTTTTTAAAAATCTCAATTCCACCTATTCCCACTTGCAAATAAAATAGATGTTTAGATTTACATGTATTTTGTAATTTTAAGACAGAAAATAGTGAATACATCTGTGAGAAAATATGATTTATTTCAGATTTTTGAAATAATAAAAAGATCTTACAAAAAAAAAGCAACTTAATACCTAAATTTAAGAACATAGTTAATTATTTGTTTACACAAAATTTCACCTATTCCCACATAAAATCTTACCTTTTTCTACATGATTTTCAAAAAAAGGAAATAGGTAGAATGAACCGTTTACATCTGTACGAAGCGCGTTGGACCGAATAATCTTGCAAATCAAAATGGCAGTATAAACAGGCGAAATTTTCGATGATTTCAATTCCAGGGCCAGGAGGGCTATTAAAAACAATTATAAGGAATGTTTTGTTGTGGAAACAGTAAAAGAATATGTAAGGAACACACGGTTAGTAATATTTTGAGATCACAGTTTTAAAAACATGGATAAATAAATTGAAAAACAGCGCACTTTTTTGTGCGCAATAAATATACAGTTTTTACAATGGGTGGCACAATAGCTCTCCGGTCTATCAATATATATACATTTTTTTTTTCGGAGAGCTACAGTTTTGCAGCTAACATTTTGATAGCATTTCACACAAAAATATATTAAAAATTTTATTTCATCATAAAGTTATTGAAACTTGAAGCTTTTTGATGGGTTTGATTGGCACATCCTTGCACTCATATTAAAAGAGAATATTAAGTTAAATTATTGAGACTAAATAATTGAAAAGCGTCTTTTTCTTCTTTCCGAGCACCGAGGACATTATTTATTGAACAGCCCTTGTATATACTATTAATAAACATTTTAGTTGCATCTGAATTCTTTTATAGAGCAGGATTATTCTGTAATTCCTGAAAAGTGTACAGCATTTGGGGAAGCATGGACTTCAAAAGAACTTCAAACAGACCAAAAAAATTCGATGGAGTTGTGGAATATCCACAAATATACGTACATGTAAGACTTAAAATACTGTGAAAGTTCTGCCTGGGCAGTAGGAAGGCGTAGTTGTAAAATTTCCAAAGTTTCATCTTGTTCTCCAGACTATTGCTATAAATCTGAACAAAGTAGCCTTTGGTTAAGGAGATTCCAAATTGATCCCCCATTTCAAGTAAATTTCATTAAGAAAAAAGTAGCTGCTATCATAGAAAGTAAAACAAGTATCCGCATATATAGTGTACATGCATTTGTCAAATCAAGCATTAGATACACATGTGCACATGTGGCCCATGGACCTCTCATGTAGGTATAGCATTTACATTTACTTGTTCATAATTTCGTACTCTTACATGGTACCTGCATGGTCTCACCTCTGTTGTTTCGCTCTGATCTCCATTTGTATTGTTTTAATGGACTCTGAGCTGAAAAACTGTTCGCCGTCTTTATATCATTCATATTTACAGTGATCAAAGCTGTGCCACACACGTAGATCTCTTAGAGGGATTTTACAGGTACAATAAAACCCTCATTTATGCAAAGATGTTCGGGTTTCGATTTGCAAGAAAAGACAAGGGTTTTATTACTATTGCATGCCAGGTGAAGATTTATAATAGCATCACCTCCAGTGGAAATAAAGTAAGTACTTCAGTCTTGTTTTAAAAAAAAATACGGTTTTGAATTTAAAGAAAGACAAGCAAATGTCATTTATTTAGAAATTATCATTGTAGTTGATTTTTTTTTTTTTAAAATAAGGTCAATCGTGAAGGTAAAGGTCAAGGGGAAAGAAATCGCAGCATGCTCGGAATTATCTTGTCACAGTTTATGCACATGTCAAATATGAAAGCCCTTCTCAATATAAGGAACAAGATGTGTTTGTGAAACACTGATGACCCCGTAATGGCCCGTATGGCAAAATAACGAAGATTAAACTTTTCTTAAATGCAAATTAAATATATTATTACCCAATGTAGGGTTTTTCTCACAAGAAATACGATTGTGAAATACAAAATCCCTAGCACCACCTGTTCAAAGTTATTGTTGAGGATAAAATTTTGAAAGGAAGGTCTAACTCCAAGTTAAGGGCCTGAGTTGTTGGTTTCTTGTCACAAGTAATACATATGTGAAAGATGAAAACCCTAACCGTTCAAAAGTTATGGCCAAGATTAAAGTTTTTTAAAAGTAGGTCAACTCCAAAGTCAAGGTCAAAGGATTAAAGTTCTTGGTATCCGATAAAAGGTCTTCTCACAAGAAATACATATGTGAAGTATAAAAGCCTTAGCTCTTAGCATTTAAAAGTTATGGTCAAGGTTAAAGATTTTTGGTAAGTACGTAAATCTCCAAGGTCAAGGTCAAAAGGTCAAAATTGTTGGTATCCAATAAAAGGTCTTGCCACAAAAATACATATGTGAAATATGAAAGTCCTAGTATCTACTGTTCAAAAGTTGTGACCAAGGTTAAATTTTGTAAAAAGTAGTTAAAACTCCAAGGTCAAGGACAAAGGGTCAAAGTTCTTGGTATCCAATGAAAGGTCTTCTCACAAGGATTACATTTGTGAAGTATGAAAGCCCTAACACTTACCGTTCAAAAGTTGTGGTCAAGGTTAGTTTTTATAAGTATGTAAATCTCCAAGGTCAAGGTCAAAAGGTCAAAGTTGTTGGTATTCAATGAAAGGTCTTGCCACAAAAAATACATATGTGAAATATGAAAGTCCTAGTATCTACCGTTCAAAAGTTGTGACCAAGGGTAATGTTTTTAAAAATTAGCTAAACTCCAAGGTCAAGGTCAAAGGGTCAAAGTTCTTGGTATCCAATGAAAGGTCTTCTCACAAGGATTACATATGTGAAGTACAAAAGCCCTAGCCCTTACCGTTCAAAAGTTATGGTCAAGGTTAAAGTTTTTTCATAAGTACGTAAATCTCCTAGTTCAAGGTCAATAGGTCAAGGTTGTTGGTATCCAATGAAAGGTCTTGCCACAAAAAATACATATGTGAAATAAGAAAGTCCTAGTGTCCACCATTCAAAAGTTAGGGCCAAAGTAAAAGTTTGGAATTTTTGTGTAAAAGTTGGGTCAAACTCCAAAGTCAAGGTCAAAAGGTCAAATTTGGTGGTACCTAAAGAAAGGTCTTGTCATAAGGAATACACTGTGAAATATGAAAGTCATAGCTCCACTGAATCAAATGTTATGGGCAAGGTTAAAGTTTTTGTGACGGACGGGCAGACTGACGGATAGACGAACAGACGAATGAGATTTAATGTCCCCTCGCTTTCGCGAAAGCGGTGGACAAAAATGATAAAAAATATTATATCAAAAAATATTTTAAATAGAATTTGTGTATGAGAACTCCAACAGTTCGCAAAAAGCGGCACATTGAAAATGCACCATTCCAAACCAGAACTCTGACCAAGAAACTTCAGGTCTTCGACAATAAGGGTGTACATGAAAATAACAGCCAGAGAATCAAATGTAAATATCAGCATTTTGCTGTTGATACAAATATGATAATTTTTGTCATATTAAAAAGAATGCAGATCATTCTTTAAAATAATTTATGCAGTTTTTTTGATTTCTTAGGGGACACTTTTCTGTGGATGACGATTTTTGCAGCAGTTACTCAGTATCCCTGAGAGACAGATCTATTCCTAATTATAACGCTCTGATTTTACTTTCAAATTTTGTTTACTTACATACTCGTATATGTATATTTCAGTTATGTGTATTCAATATAAAAATTAAAAAGATGCTGTAATCAATGAACCAAAATGTGACAAGTTTTTTTTTAGTTATAACAGTTTGATTTATATATTGTTTACAGTCAGTTCCAACTAAACTTGTAACTGTCACAAAGTGTATTATAAAGATTTTCAATGTTTGTTCTCTAAAACTGCAATCTCCCTTGCAGGGGTGTCGTTCGTTTTTCCTCAATGGTTTCAGGTCAAGATTTTTTATCGACATGTCAGGAAAACAATACCAGTAATGGATCCTGATAACTTATGCATTGATATACTCCCCTAATTCCCGCCTGAAAAGAACTTTATTCGGTAATAACCAATATTTGCCCCCCAAATCAAACTTTGATGGAAATATATTTAATTAAGTTCTTAAACAGGGGAGTATATACTGACTTCAAAGCACTGAATATTTTCATAATTAATGACGCCATATGTACGTAATGACGTCACAAACATGACGTAAATTTCAGTTTTTATGAATTTTACAGAAAAATGTACATATTTAGTCGATATTTTGAGTAAACGTCACCGAGCGCATGTGTGTTCAGGATCAATATTTTGATATAATGTGAAGAATGATAATATCAATGAAATATGTCAATATTGTTCCTGAACAAACTTGCGCTCTATAAATTTTAAAGCTAAAATTGTTGAAATTTTGTCCATTTTGTCCTCTTTCTGAAAAAGGATATAAAATCGGACTAGTTTGTGACGTCATAAAAACAAAAAGTGTAAAAACACTGCTTTGACACTATAATATATATGTTAATTCATATTTCTCATACAATTTATTGAATTCAGCACATTTCAGGAAGTTTTCAAAATATGACTTTTGTGGGGGCAAATATATGCAATATACCGCATGTAGTTCTTTATCTATATTTCTTCGGTAACCAAAAAATAATTGTTCGGAAAACAGGAGGAATGACTCAACTACGGGGAGGGAAAACATACATCTTCTGAATCTTAACTGGCGCCATAATATTATAAATATTATGGATAATGTGGAAGATTACGCCAGGCGATGGACCAAACAAGAAAAAGAAGACCTTGACACAGTGTCAGAATGGATTAGTGTATCAGATGTTTGTTAAAATCTTGCATTAAGAGATTGAGGGACAGAGTGAAAACCTACTATCCTTCTGTGTTCAATAATTTAGAAGTGAAAAAAGAATGACATAGATTACACGATTACTATGTACTAGTCCCTGCTGACAAAGCATGTAACATTTTCTTTGTTAAGCCCATTATCTAAATTACATTTTAGAGGAACTGGGGTTTAATTCTACAAGTGGTAAATCAACTTACACTCATAGTTCCTTTTCTAAGGAGAAAATTCTTCAGAATCAGTTTTCAATAATTTTAGTATTACAACTGTACCAACAACCAAAATGAATTTGGATTACCGTATCTGATTTGAATTCAGAAACTTCATAAAAATCCTTGCAAAGATACATAGCGGGTTCCAGTGATTGTTCTACCAAAACTTCTTTTAAAATCTTCAATAATATATTGCGGTAGTGAAGGAGAAACTTTGGGAATACTGTGCAACAATATATAGTCGAGAAGTTGCGTAAATCCGATGTGAATACTAAAAAAAAAATTCAAAGAACTTTTGTTAAACTTGAAGTCACAAAATTTTACTAAAATATACAACTACATAAAAACTTCTTTTTTTTTAATTTTGGCATAACTATTTTCCACAATAAATTAAAGTCCAGGATTTTAACATCATTGACAGCTGCTTTTTCAGTAAAAATGTATTTGTGAATTCAGTAACCTCGTCAACGGTCATTTGCAAAATTATTTTGTTAACAGAATCATTCTGATTGTACACACAAGTACACTGAAGTTGATATAAAAAAAATGTTTGAGTTTCTGATTTGCAATATCTATGTGATTTTTGTAATCAGATCTTCCAACAATCAAGTGGAATTCCCATGGGTACCAATTGCGCCCCGTTAATAGCAGACCTATATATTTTGTATCCATATGAAGCATAATTAATTCAAAATTGTATACGTGAAAAGAAGAAAAACAATTGCGTTGGCCTTCAAATCGACATTTAGATATATCGACGACGTATTGTCAATTAACAATAATTATTCACATTCTTATAAATGTCGATACGATACCTCCCGGCGAGCTTGAAATAAAAGACACCACAGAGTCTGGCACATCTTTTTCATATTTGGATATTTTAATAGGAAAAAAATTTAATGGTAATTTAACAACAAAGCTTCATGATAAACGTATAATGACTTTTAAACTTTTCAATCGTCAATTCAGCAAATACCTTTATCACCTAGCATTCGGTATGGAACGCCGTCACTATCTTATAGCAGAACACAACATTGTATTGTGTCAACTTTCCATTATATTGTGTCAACTTTTTATAACATTAACCCACACTACCCTTGCATCATTTCAACTTTCCATTACGTTATGTCAACTTTATGACATTTACACATACTACAATTATATTTTGTCAACTTGCATTTTGTTATGTTTACTGTTCATGACATTTAATTAAACAACAATTACATTATGTCAACCTTTCAATACATTATGTCAATTCTTTACGATATTATGTGAAAAGCTCTTGTCATACTGTGCGCACTCTTCTACATTATGTCGATTCACTATAACGTTATGCGAACACGTGTATCCTCGGCCTGTATATGAGCATAACGTATTTTCCGCGTTCCGAAAGCACTAAAATTCGAGGGAGAGAAAACTGTCGTAGAAGAAATTCTCAGCGATTTTGGAATGGCATCTTTAATAAAAACTTTAAGCGACAAATGATTGACGACCTTGAAACGTGCAAAGCCTTAACACTGCGACTGTGCATTAAAGTCACTTCGAAATTCAATTTTACTTTAATCTGATAATTAAATAAATCAAATATTATGAGTCGTGCAGCAATTTTTTTTTATTTTTATTTTTAATTTTTTTTGTTTTGTTTTCGTTTTGATAAAAGTCTTAAACTTTTGATCTTACTGAGAACATTGTCATAAGATTTTTTATCAGTCTTTAACTTTCCTTTTTTAAAAGTTTAACACATCGTATAACACACGTGCACTGGTGGTTTGGGTTGGGGTTGGGAGGGGGGGGGGCAGAAATCCCGCCCTACCATCTTAAGTGACCAAAATATACATAAAATTAATAAATTTATTGGTTTTACTTTGTAGGATATTGCATTATAGTTTCACATTAAGTTTAGCTGAATTAAGTTGAAAACTTTTTTTCTATAAAACTATAAAGCCTGAGAGCTTCTCTGCTTTCCTCTTTGGTCTCCAACCATTGGGGTCGGGAGCAAATGAAAAGTGTTGGGGGGGCTAAGTGTAAGAATTTTTTTTTTACCTTCATAAAAAACCTGACAAGCAAAAAGAAGGGGGGGGGGGGGTAGGTTCGAACTTTACTAGCAAATTTTTTTCCAAACAACACCACTTTCCACATTATTTTAACCTAAACTACAACTACTTATGTCGGGGGGGGGGGGGGGGGGGCTTAACCTACGCGATGTTTAATGTCTATACTAAGTCTATCTGAGGAGAAAAAGTGGGGGGGGGGGCTCAGCCCCCCCTTCGGTTCCGACGCCTATGCCAACCATATACCGTCCCCCTTCCTTGTTCAAGATTCTCATATCCGCCACTGATATGTGCTCGTGCATGCTTACTAAGGCATATTCAATTGATTTAGATGAGGGACTGACAGATTTTTTAAATAGAATTCTGGCCCTAGAGTGGTTGAAAAAATTTCGAATTCCAGTGACGTAGCATATTTTTTGAAAGGGGAAGTCAGCCAGAAAAAAAAATATGAATTTGCCCCAAAAAACTTGACAAGCCCAAAAAAATTGTCCAAGCCCGAAAATCCTGTTTCGGGGAGGGGGGGGGGTCAAACTTCGATCAGTCCTAATTTTTTTTTTATATATACTACATTGCCCTCAGTGGACTGTGCTTCAACAAAAAGTTGGGGTAGGGCTGTACTTTCAATGAACATTACTTTTTCTATAGTAAAGTTATGTCTGGGAAAAGGGGGGGGGGGGCTGTTATACTTCCTAATCAATCAGGACCAACCCCCTCTTAACAGCCTTTAAAACACGGTCGTCAACATTCATTGTATACTAGATATACAGCTTTGAGATAATGTAAATGTATTTTTACATCAGGTAATGCACTTTTGGAATCAACATGATAAAGAGTTAACACAATATAAAGCTATTTTTAGATCACATAAGATAGAGTTGACATAACGTTATAATATATCCACATCACGGTATGGAGTTTTGACATAATGTAATAAAGTGTTGGTATAGTATAAAGATATGTTCACATTATGTTATACACTTTTTACACCACGTGATAAAGCACTGGCATGAAGGTAAGATGTGTTCATCTCACATCATGATGCTCTCGCCGTAAAATAAAGATAAATCCATATCACGTAATAATGCTTTGATATAATAGAAATATACACTCTCAAAAAGGAATTGATTTTTGACTTCATGTAATGATAATTAAGTTTAATTATAAAACACAATTTACTTTACGTATTGCAATTTTGACCTCACATATTAAAGAAATGAAATGATGTAAAGAAACATTCATTTCACGTAATAAAGTTTTAACTCAATGTAAACACAATATCACTTCACTTAATTAATTTTTTACTTCAAGTTATGAAGTGCTGACATAATGAAAGGATGTATTTACTTCATGTAATGCAGCATTGGCATGATGTTAAGATATTTTACATCATCTCATAAAAAATTGACATAACGTAAAGATATGTTCACATCACGTAATGATAAATTGACAAAATAAATGCATAGTTGTATGCTATAAGGCAGTGATGGCGTTCCATAATTCGGGGTTTATAGCTCACAGTTGATTCGATACGCAAGAGCATGTAAAAACAATTTGCTAAAACGAGAAAAGTTATTGACAAAAAAAAAATTAAATTAATGAAATAAAAATATCAGCAATCTCATTCAAAGTCATATC